AGCCGTTTATTACAAAGCCTTAACCCCTTATATACTATTTCTTACATGCGCTTACAGTGATTTGGCATATTATGATTGATACATGTCTTGAAGACCCCCAGTGACTAACAGATAATTGGTTTAGCACAGGTGCGAGAACTTGACCTCGAAAGCTTGCCAACAGTCCACAGTTCTCCTTAACTGGGTGAATTCCAGCTTCTTATCTTGCTTGTTTAGGCTTCCTCGGGCATCTCATGGCCTTGCTGTATCTTTCAGGATTAGTCAGTTTATCTACCAATTATCCATTCTCCTGTGAGAACACTGCCTCCACAGGTGGAACTCAGAATAAACACCACAGCTAATCCTAACAAATGTCTCATTGTGGTTGATAACTTTCTTCTCCTCCAAATGTCCCTGCAGTTTCGCTTGCGTGGAGAACATGCCCGTGTCCTGGGCTTTGCTGTGGTGGCACTGTGCATTGTTAGGCAGTCGCTGTGCTCTCTTTCAGAGGTACCTGCTCTTCAGTTGTGAATGAAGAATTCTGCTAGCAGAGGCAGTGGAATGCTCCATGATCTTTCAACCAAAGGTATTATTTAAATAATTGGTGTTGTTGAATTGTCATTAAAAGAACAGTTCTGGATGTTAGAGCAAAGTGATACCAGAATAGCAGAGAAAATCATAGTTCTTCTGAAGATCTTAGGTATAATAAATGGGTGTTATTGAAACAGGCAATAGTGGGAAGGAATACAAAAGGCAAAAATTAGGGAGCTAGAAGGGTTTTTTAATATAATAGCAACATAATTAAACACAACCCCAGAATTTTTAAATGTAGCTTAGAGTAAAAGATTGCTCTAAAAGACTGAGCAATAGAAAAGTTTAGCAATTGATTGAAAGAGTTCCTCTTTCTAGCTGGAGAAACGCGGAGGAAACACAAATTGCCTGGAAATGGTATGCTTTTAAAATGTTTCCATTGTTGGATAGTTATGTGGTTGTACAGCTTAGTGTTTGGTGGACGGCATCTGAGAATTCTTTGACCTTGCCATGTTAAAGGAATTTCCTTGAGTTGTGATTTCCTTTGATAAAGCTTGTTCAGCTTGTTCAAATCAGCCTGCGTTTACAACATGGGAGAAGGATGGTGAATGCATCTTCTGGATGCCTCTAGGCTAGCTTTTGGGTGAGCGGTGGAAAGTCTTAGTCACACATGTCCTGTCTCCAGAAGATTCATGTGTTGAACAGGGTAGGAATTCTAGAAAAATCCCCTACACTAGAGGAGTTAAAAGAGTCAGTTTCTACTTCAGTATCTGGTTTTGTTTTGAGCTCGTCATGAAACGTGGGGGAGGAGAGTCTTCCCATAGAAGATGTAAGATGGTGTACCCGATGTAAGAAAAAGAACTAATGCCATGTAAGAACATGTAAGAAAGAAATGTTTTGAAAGGTACTGAAGGAATTTAGGAGTCAAAGAGCACAGATTTGAAAGTGTCTCTCAAAAAATAGTTACTACATCCAAAAATGAAAGCAGGAAAAAAGGGAGCAAATGAAAACCCGGGCAAGCATACCAGGCACAAAGCCCTTGTTTACTCCAAGACCTTCATGCTTCACTATGTGCATTGGGTTTTTATATGCTGGATTGGGAGGAACAAGAAACAGAAAGCACAAGCCAATCTCAACATAAGTCACACAGGGCTTTCTGGCACTTGCCCTCAAAAGCAAAGGGAGTGAAGTTGTCTCTTTTTCATGAACATCAATCTAAGAGTTCCTCAGTGGAGGAATCCCCCTGTACTCAGCCAAGTGGGAACTACTACTTGACTTTTCTGAGGCTGATTTGAGCCAAACCAAAGCAGTCACGAATAGGGTCAGTAAAGTGCATATACTCATATGGTTTCTTCTCCTTATAGTGATTGTACTGCAGATAGTGACTAGAGGGTTGAGTGTGACTGCTGGCTGCATACTGACAGAATTTCAACTAATACACTTCTCCATTTTTCATCTCTGACATCCATACATGACTTGTAATTGTGAGTCATGGGGACATCTCCAGGAATGAGGAGGCTGACAAAAGCCTCAAAAGGCAAGAAAGACATGCCACAAAGTGCTAGCCTTATTTAGCAAGGGGAAATGACTACCTCCCAATGGACTCATGTAATTCAGGATTACAGAGATAATTTGTAAGCCCCAGGTCTTCGAACCACTCCTATCTCATCAGTTATCACCGGCACTGTGAGAAAGTGCTGCTTCCACAGCTGGATGTACCCAGAAAAACTGCACATACATACACATACACATACATGTGCTCTGAAGTGGAGCAGAGTGCAGAGTGCTCGTGCACTGGGCCACGGCCACTCTGAGGGCAGTTTGGTCCTCACCTCTTGCCAGCAGCAGGCCATGCCCTGAAGCAAAGTCTCTTTTTTTCCTCTTGTCCTCTTTGGCTGCTAAACAGCTCTGGAATACAACCAGTCTTTCAATGGCCTGAAAAAGAGAACTGAGCACCGAATGTGTATTGAATATGCCAACACAGAAACTGTGTAATTCACCTTCTTCCCCTCAGTCCTCTGGACACTGGCTCAAAGAATGTGCATTTGCTTGTTAAAGGCATCTTGTAAAAAAGGGGAAAGAGAAGCTACTTGCCATACTGGAGTTTTAGTGGACTGATTCACGATTCAGCAGCTCTCACATAAGAGTTCAAGTAAGACAAGCCGCTTGTCACACTCAGTGACCTATCTCTGCAGGGATCATGGGTGTACACCCCTCTGCAGACGCACAGGATCCTTCTTCAGGCAGCATGCCTTATCCTTGAAAACAACAGCCAAGAAACCAGGTAGGAACGTTGAGGCTTCTGTCCTCACCGCTCCAAATCCAACCCATAAAGCAAGGCAAGCAGTGTTATCTGGTATTTTTCCCTGGGTTTTATTTCTCTCTAACTCTTCTTTTCAGTTCCAGTTTTGGTCTTTGCTGCTGTGAGACAGTGATTGCAAGACATGCCTAGCTATAGCAGTACTTTCCCTGCTTAGTTTCCAGTTGTTAAATTGTTTTAATTTCTCTTCTAACACACATGCACTAGATAAAATAAATAGGACTATCCTTTTTTTTTTTTACTTGACTGGAAGCAAAACTTCTTATTCACTGGAGGAAAAGCTGACTGCTGAGCAGGGGGTTCTGTAGTTTTCAGTGGTTTGGCACAGGCGGTTTTATTTAGGCAATCACTTGTGTGGTTTAATTCAGTGGGGCCCAGCTGAGAAGTAAAACCTCTTGACAAAAGTTCAGCATGTGAACTTTACTGCAGGCAGCTTGAGCAGAAAGAGAATGACCTCCTACAACAATGGATTCTGCACAGGCCCTCCCTCCTCTTTTGCTGATAGATGGATCACTAAGAAAACTATCGGTGTCCTCCGAGACATTTGGGCTTCTTTCTCACCTTTCCTAAGAAAATGCAGGATGAATCTGGTCTGGAAAAACTGTTCACAGTTCTGTACATTACAGTACACAAAACCCATGGTAGCCAACTGGGGAACTATTAAACAGAAGAGACTTGGGCTCCTTGGGAACTGGGGTAAAAAACCCAGCAAACCAGCCATCCTGGGTTCAGTGTAACAGTTATTTTTCTCCTCCCCACTAGCTGGTGCAGGCCTTTGGTTTTGACTTTAGCCTGAGAACAACACTGATAACACACTGATACTTTTAGTGGATGCTAAGTAATGCTTACCCTGATCAAGGACTTTTCAGTCCCTCATGCTCTGCCAGTGAGGAGGGGCACAAGAAGCTGAGAGGAAGCAGAGACAGGACACCTGATCCAAATCAGCCAAAGGGGTATTCCATACCACAGCACATCATGTCCAGTACAGAAACTGGGGGGAGTTACCCGGAAGGTCCAGATCACTGCTTGTGTAGGGCTGGGTATAGGTCGGCAGGTGGTGAGCAATTGTATTGTGCATCACTTGTGTTTCTGTTTTCTTTTCCACTTTTAGTTTTATATTCTCTCCCCTTTTTATTTCACTTATCACTATTATTATTGGTGGTAGCAGTAGTAGTTTTGTGTTATACCTTAGTTATTGGACTGTTCTTATCTCAACCCATGGGGTTTACATTCTTTTCATTCTCCTCCCCTCCCTCCAGAGGGAGTGAGGGAAGAAGGTGGGGAGTGAGCAAGTGGCTGCGTGGTTCTGAGTTACCAGCGAGTCTTAAACCATGACAGTGCTTTTTGGCACCCAACATGGGGCACGAAGGGTTGAGATAAAGACAGATCTTACCAGAGTGTGTCTGGTCATATTTGTGATAAGCATTCACTGTTTCGGATTAATAGTCACTCATCACAATGTTGATTTATTTGCTCTCAGAGCTGTTGCACTCAGTCTCAGAGTTTCAGCATGTTGTACCTTACTTACAGCCAGTATTTGCTAGTTTAGTGTTTATCACCTGGGGGGCCTGGGCTAAAGCTCTTGTTTCACTGTACATCATGGTAATGACTTGTAATGCAATAGAATCATTGATCTGGGCTGGCATGCATTGTCAGCGTGATCATCACCTCTCTACTTTGGGAGGCATGTAATGGGAATTGTTAACAATTACACCTCTTTTTTCCCCCCTTGGAAGGCCAGCGTGTGGAGGATACATCCTTCCGCCTTTTGACAAAAAGCAATCAGGAAACTGTACTACCAGTGAAGACAGAAGACAGCCATGTCACTGGTTTTAAACAGTGTGAGAGCTAAAGAGTTTTTACATCTGCTCCAGCAAAAGAGGATTATTTGAAGCTGTTTAAAGGAGGAGAGTGAAGGACCTTAGCAGTGGTGGTGTGGAGACTTCTCCCAGATATAGGGAAAAGACACAGGAAGAGCACAAATGTGCTGCTAAAATGCAAACCAGCTACCACAGGGCAGTTAGATCCAGGTGCCATTGTCACCCCAATGCATGGGAATGGCTTGTGGTTGTTTCCCGGGATTATAGGCCCTTTATACCACATAGAATCATTTTGTTTATGGGCTGTAGGGTTTTTCCTTTTTATTTTAAAAAGATCCAGTTTCTTAACCACAAATTAAATGCTGTTTAGACTCAACTCTTTAAACCATACAGGATTTCTCTCAGTTGTATTTTACTGTTGTGAAGGATAGGTTCCTGTTACAATACTGAAGGGTAAACTCTCCAGCACTTCCGGTAGCTGGCATCATCACGCTGTCTCTCTCACCTCCTCCTTCTGTGTCACCCTCTCCTCCCCCTTTACTTTCAATTCCCCCTTCTTCCCCACACTGCCAGGACAAGCATGTTCCCTATTCCTCTTTCCTCTGCACGAGGTCTTCTGGGTATTCATCCTGCCATTTGCACCTCGGGGGCTCTCTATTTCTCCTATGGCATACCCTGTCTGCAGCAGTCCTGCACCACATCACTTTCTCTGTAAACCAGAGCTCTGTCATGGCATGTTTCTTGTTGCTAAAGGCTATGAAGCACACAGAAGTCTTTGCACCAGTACATGGGAAAAGGTGAGATTAACTTTCTCAATAGCCTCTCTTGCTAAAACTTCTTCCTGTTTTACCACTTCTTTGGGAGTACTGGAGAAGGTACTGGAATGTTTTCATATTTCATATTTCCTCATACCTCTTCATCAGGGACTGTAGTCATAGGACAAAGGGTGAGGATTTCAAACTTAAACAGGGGAAGTTCAGGTTAGATATAAGGAAGAAGTTCTTTACTGTGAGGGTGGTGAGTCCCTGGAACAGGCTGCCCAGAGAAGTGGTGAATGCTCCATCCCTGGCAGTGTTCAAGGCCAGGTTGGACAGAGCCTTGGGTGACATGGTCTAGTGTGAGGTGTCCAAGCCCATGGCAGAGGGTTGGAACTGAATGATCTTAAGGTCCTTCTCAACCCAAACCATTCTGTGATTTTATGATTCTATGTTTCTGTGATTTCATATTTCTTTCATTCTTCCTTCTTACAGCGTCATGGAGGTCTTCATATTCTTCCTTTATGCTATGATACTTCTCCCAGGTAAAAGGCACATTTTTAATTGTAAAAAACTGTTTCGATTATTTGTGTCCTGCTATGTGATACTTTCTCATCCACTAAAAAGCTCATTCCTTAGCAGTATTTAATGATTTCCATTGCACAACCAAGGTCATATAGCCTATGTAATGTGTATTTAAATTGTGTGCAGGGGCTCTATAAAATATATAGCAAGTACTTTCTCCAACTTTATATCTTTACATTACACTTGCTTTACATTGCTCTTTAAATTTTTGATTTAAATCTTTCAAATGTGTGCATATCACCCCCGTACATTATAAAGCAAAGCAGTATTAAACTGAAACCTCACAGTTTCATGTGGGACTACTGGAGTTGTAGACAGCTGCAGAGATTATTTTGCAGTCTGGTGCTGTTGAAGAGCAGTCAAAATTTTGCACCAGGAGAAAGGCTAAAAATCTTCTCCTCCTTTTGAACACAGCAGAGGTGTTTGTATCTTTTGGGACAGAAGACTGCTTTTCCCATTCCAAGAAAAGATAGTCTTCCTGGCCCATCACCACCCATAACAGTGGACACATGCACTGAGGAAAGTAAGGGGAAAATCATCCCTTATGTGCTACAGTTCATCCTTTCCTTGCATGAAGGCGTAACTGTGTTTATTGACTATTTCTATTCACAAGATCAGCAACCGAATGATTAAATCTGACATTTAATTTGTCATCAAACTCTAGATTAATTGCAGAAGAGTTAAATCTGACATTTAATGTGTCATTAAACTTTAGATTAATTCTTCATGAGACTGAAAGTGTTCACCTGTTTCTGACCTACTGGTCATATATTCCCTAGACACCAGCATTTACCACACAGGGTGCACTTCACAGTATCTTCAAAACTGCAGTGCTGTGTTCTTTTAATAGGAGAACAAACTCAGCTTTTTAAAAAGAAATTGTGCATCTATCTCCTTTATGGCAGCATTTCATTATCCTTGGGATGCTATACTCAGGGTGCAAGAATGGTTTGGACCTTTTGCCTGCAGATAAGTATAGATGCTTGCAGCCTCTGTGTGGTAGGTCTTCGTTGGAGAGTAAAATATAGAAAGGAAAACAAGAAACAGTTTTATGACCTGAACTCCACAAGACTAAGTGAGTCAGTTTGAAGAACTACATGTCTTGTCATACCTAGTGGGAGCATTTGTGTCTAAATGCTGGCAGTTTACTGCTGCTGTCATTACGTCTTGCCTATGTGAGTGCAAATACTTGGTGTTCTTCTGTAGCTGATGGAAATCTTCTTTGTTGAAGGTACCACTGGCACCGTGCATCAGGTGAAGTCATTTCTCAATCACACTGCATACCTATCCTGTTATTTTCCAAACTCTCAAAAAAGTGACATAAAGGATTTAATAGTTTTTTGGCAAAAAGGCCTTGAAGTGGTGCATGAAGTGTACCACGGCCAAGAAAAACATGATAATATTAGTCCTGAATATAAAAATCGCACCAAGATGGATATGGACAAATGGACCTTGCAGTTGTTAAATGCAGGAATTCTGGATGAGGGACTGTATACGTGTATCATACAGCAGAGAGTTGAAGGAATTTCAAGTGTCATACATCAGTCTGAGTGCTTACTGCACATCATTGGTAAGTAAGCTCTTCTAATTGCCATCTGGTCTAGGGATTGGTGGGGTTTTTGGGGGGAGGGGTCCTCTGTCACTGGAGCTGGATTTCTAAATCATAGAATCATAGACTAGTTTGGTTTGAAAGGACCTCAAGATCATCCAGTTACAAGCCCCTTGCGAGGGGCAGGGGTGCCTCACATTAGACCATGTCACCCAAGACATGGCCTTAAGCACTGCCAGAGACGGAGCATTTACCACTCCTTGGGCAGCCTGTGCCAGTGCCTCACCACCCTCACAGTAAACAGCTTCTTCCTTATATCCAACCTGAACTTCCCCTGTTTAAGTCTGAAATCCTCAGCTCTAAATGAAATGTACTCAGGTGATAGTAATCAGAAGTAGAAAATGAGGTAATAATTTGCTCAATATTTCATGTTCCCGAATCCCACCCTTCCATAGTTGTAGTGAAAACCATTCTGCCTTCTTCCTCTTGCCTCCTGGAAGTTTTATGGCTTTTAGGACTCCGTAAAATACAGTTCTTCATTTGCATCTGATGCACTACCTTCTATTAAAAGTAGCAGTAGTTATCATCGTTGGTGGCAAATTACAGTTGGAACATAAGATTTCTGTGAACACACAGCTATTTTATGATCACATAAATCACAGAGAAAATAAGAAAAGAGCAATTCACGTGGAGGAGTAGAAATTCGTATGTTCAGTTACAGGAAGACTGAAAATACTCTGAGGAAAACGTGCACGCATTGATGAGATTAGACTTGATTTCTTGTGTGCTATCAGATGAAAAGGCAGCAGATCTTTTAACAGGAGAATGGAAGTGAGAAAGCAATCTTTTCCCAACACCTTCTAGTATTTTTAGTAATTCCTAAGATATTTTCCTACGGTTTTTCTATTTTAAACTGTTCTGTTAGTAACCTTAGTCCATACGCCTGTGTTCTCTCTTCCGCTGTGATAGTGCATTAATAACAACGGTTTCTAACTTCCACTGGTATTTTCATGCCTCAGGATACTGTTTCAAAAGAGAACAGGCCATGTGTAACTGCAGCCAAAACCAGAGTATCAGGATGTCTGAGCCTATTTAGCTTTGTGCTACCAGCAAATATTCTCTCAATCCACAGATAGGAAACCTAGATTGTTAATTTTAATCCTCCCAGAATCTACTTGACCAGTATTTTCAGCAAAGTTTTATAACTCAGAAACTCACAGTGTGCACTCAGGATCAAGGCTTCCAATTTAAGAGAATCTGAGCATCAACTGCTCAGTTAATTCAAGCAGTTTGTTGTAGCTTAGCCAGCGTCTGAGCAACATGTTATAGAGTCTCACAGTTAGGCACTGAAACTCTCCTAGACTTTTCAAGGAAGACTGTTTTAACCTGTGTGCTGCTGGTTTCCTTCCAAATGACTCTCTGTTCAATAAGCTCCCAAAGGAAGAAGCAGCATAAAATCCTATTTAAAAGAATTAGAAGGAAAATACAAATGTTGAAATGTGCTAACTTACTGTTTCTTAAGTAGAGTCTCGTATAGAAGGCTTTTTGTAGTGTGAGGTGTTAAAATGGATGTTAGAAAGACTGAGTGCTCTACAAGAATGATGGGACAGTTATACAAAGCTATCTTGATCACTTGGTTGCCTAGCCATTCAGAAATACAGAAGTACCTTCTGATACAGTTTACATGAGTTATTTATATATATTACATTAGGCAAATATATAGATAATGTATAATAAATATATATGCATAAATCATCCCACAGCCAGGATGATTTATATAAGAACACGAACACGTATCTTTCTCCAGAAGGTATGGTGGGCTTCACAATGGAAAGCTTTGACTCTTGGAAAAAACAAGGTAGGGACCACGGGGACAAGCAACTTAACAGGAAATTCTGCTGCTATAGCATGTCTCTAGTGCTTCTTTTGGATGGATCAATAAGGGAAGTGAGACTAGGGAAGCTTTTTCAAACTGTGTGCTAGGAATAAAACTGATGTCAAGAGAGAGACATAAAATTTGTGTCTTCATTTTAAAAGGGATGTTAGAAAACTTACAAGCATAAAAAAAGCTCTACTAGAGTTATCTGAAGGGGAAAATTAGTCCAACTGGAGACATTAAAAGATCAATCTGATTAGACACAATACTGAGAGGAGACTGGTTTTCAGAGTGTGGGAACCTGAAATGCACTTAAAACACTGGATATTGAACAAAAAGCTAATTTGCTTAGTGAAGATATAAAAACAATCAGCAGCTGGAAGTAAGTGAAAGGTAAGGGAAATTGTCACTTTAGAAAATAGAACAAAACCAGGTAAGTTGATTAAGCCATTGAGAAGAATATTCAGGGCTTGACGGATCTGTTGTCTCTTGAGGTATTTAAGCCCATAGTGGTTTTGGAAGATATGTTATCTTTAATACAAAAGACTTCCTGAAAGAGGCTTCTCTGTTAACAATCCAAAACTCACAAATACATTGCCCATACCCTGCATGCAACCAACAGCACTTTTCAGTAAATTGAGGTTCCCAGAAGCCATAAACCAGAAGTGCTTTGATCAGGGTATTTTCCCCTGCTTCTACTTGTTTACTGTCAACAGGATTGAAACTATTAAATCGCTGTGATGATTTGGCAAATTTCATAGGCATAGAACACGTTCCTGCTCTCCCTATAAAATGCCAAGGAGAGAATAAATACTATAGACCAGAAGCTGGAGTGAGCAGTCAGCTAAGCAAGTCAGATCTTGAAGAGAAAGAGGAAGTCTGGGCTTTCCTGAGGGACAATTTAGCTAAATTTAACTAAATAAAGAAGGTGGGAATTTTTCCATTTTGAATTCGCAACCATGGATTCTCTTGGAATTTGAGTAAGCTAAATTCTGCTCCATGTGTGTTGGGATAGAGCAAATAAGGTAACATTATATTTCTTCATCCATCCATACTTACAATTCACTAGGGGAAGGATTGAAGCCTGAATCCAACACATTTGAGCAAGTGTGCAAAAGAGTTAGGCTCTCTTAGGCTCATATTTTTCTAAGAATCCTTTTCCCCTTCTCCAGTATTTCTCCATATTGCCTTTAGTCCTATTGCCACTAACGTAATGAAGTATTCTCAATGAGTCTTGAGTCTGTTTCTTGGGTTCTGATCTTGTGCTTGATTGATTTTAACTTGCTGGATGCCAGTGTGCAATCAGTATTATGTCTACATTCTCTCCTTTTCCTTTATAGTCTGCTATTTCCACTATGACCTTTTAACAAAAGGAATCCTGGTTTGGGAAAATTTGGTAGACTATTTAATAAAGAGTGCTTCTATTTAGCATTCATACTCACAGACCCATTGTCTGGCTGATCAGACTTATGCCCTTGAAACATTCTGAGGACAAGGAGAAACAAGTTCAGACATACACCATAACAAACCCTTCTTGGGACTCCAATTGTTTTCCTAAGAAAATTGCTTAGATTTGTTTCTGCCTGAAAACCTCAAATAATTGGAAGGAACTGTCATGAGATGCAGTATGTCTGACTCATGATGCTTTCTCTTTGGTCTATTTCAGCCAACTATAGTCAACCTGCAATAGCATGGCTGCACAAAGGGGAACTAAAGCCCAGTGAATATTTGAAGCTTTGCTGTTCTTCCAGTGGAGGTTATCCAGAGCCCAAGCAAATGACTTGGTTAATTTCACATGAAAACAGAACACGCAGGCTTATGAATCACATGGATATCTCACAGGATGCTGTAACAAAGCTGTACAATGTTACTACCAAGCTGAATACCACAGTTCCTACAAACACCCTCACTAATATCAGCTGCTTGCTTCACCTTGGAGAGGAGCTGGGGAGCCTTGTCTCAGTGCCACTGGGCATAGGTGAGTGCCCATTTGCCCTTTCCACTTTTTGCATGGGTCGGAGAAGGGCACTTTGTAGTACAGATAATGACAGCAGCATAATCAAGGCAGAGAATAAACACTAAGTAGCAGTAAGAGTTGGTTACAAGGGTTGTATGTTCTCTATCCAGTTCACCAACACCCACCGCCACCAAATTCCCTCTTCTTTCTGTATGGGAAGTCTTATTGCAGCAAGAATTGGGCACAGAGAAGGAAGGTTACTGCTGCACAATCCAGAACACAGTCCTGTTTGTCACCTCCATAGATGCTGCTGTAATAAGCAACATCTTATTAGGTGGCAATAATTAGGTGGCAACCAGTCTCCAGAGGTGACAGCTGTTGAGAGTGGTTGCCACTTCACAGGATTAGAGAACTGCTGAGATTGGAAGAGGCATCTGGAGATTATCCAGGTCAAGCACTCTGCCCAAAGCAGGGTCAGTAGGTAGTGCAGTGCAGGGCCTTATTCAGTTGAGTTTAAAATATCTCCCAGGATAACTTCTCTCAGCAAACTGTTCCAGTGTTTGATCACTCTGACAGTAAAAATGTTTTGGTTTTTTTCCTGATGTTTAAGTACTTGAACTGAATCACTCCTTAGGGAGAGATAGAAGGCTAAACAGAAATGTCCCTTAGACCAGATTTGGCTCAAAATCTGCCAAAGAGACTGTGCTGAGTTTTAGTGTAAAGGCCATGAAATTTTGCCTAGTCTTAGAAGCATTCCTGGTGGTTTTCATAACATTTGGCAGGACAAAATATGCATTCCAAAACTGCTATCTGGGGACTTTTTTCCTCTAAGATTGTCTCCTTTTTTTTTCACACACTGCTTGCAAGAAGAAGCTGGGGACCTGAATTCCAATAAGGTTTTTCTGCTGGATCATCTCAGGGTTCCACATGGCTGATCCTTTCTTTAAAATAAAGCTGTATTTTATTTATCTCCTGGGAAAGGAAAACATCCTTTGACATATTTTTGTTTGTAAACTACAGCACAAACACATCAAAATAAAGACAATTCCCACTTTGGTCATAAGTTCATTTGGCTTGCACATGTTTCCTTTAGACAGCACTGAAGGTGGAGAGCCGTGGTTCAACTGACAGACAGGAACAGGGAGCCAAGAGGGAATGGCAGAATTGCAGGAAAGCCTGCTAGAGCAATGGCAGAATTGCAGGAAAGCCTGCTAGAGCAATATAGGCATGCACCTTACTACTGCAGATGTAGTAGATAAAAGAAGTTTGCCACTTGTTCTGAAAAAGTTCCAGGGTGCTGTTTTCTTCATATAAATCTAGCTACAGGGTTAAGTCATCAGTGCTTGACGTGACAAACTGCCTCTGATGGCCTGACATTCTAGCATTTTTAAATAACATTAAAATACAGTATAGAGGTCTTCTGAGGTTTGCACAGCTCTACATGGGTGTTAAAATTGCTATATTAGCTAATATACGTATTAACTATATTAATTCTATTAGCTATAGTGCTGCATCCTTCCTTCCCTATTGAATTCTTCTCTCCTCTCTGGCCTATGAAAGTAGTCATGTGATAAGCAGTGATGGTGGGTAAGAAACCAGGAACTCCACATAAAAAAAAGGCTCTGTTTGGCAATAACTGAAGCTCTATCTGTTGCTAACCTTAGCAACCAAAATCTCAAAAGCACAGTAACCAGAAATAGAGGGAAAGTCCCTTGATTTACCCTGCTCTTGCGGGGGGGTTGGACTAGATGATCTTTTGAGGTCCCTTCCAACCCTTGGGATTCTGTGATTCTCTGCTACTTTCACATCCTTTATGGCATTTCATTAGGCTTTGGCCATCATTTACACACATACCCAGTAGTAACATAACCCAGGTTCTTCAAACTTGCACAGTAGCACAGAGTAGCATTAGCACAGTAGCTGTTTTATTTAGCACATAAGCTCTTTTATTAATTAAATTGCTGATCTCTCACCTATTACTCAAATATCATAAAGAGTACTTTGCCTTACTGTTGTTGAAGTGGCCACTAAGACCTGAGAGTTTCACTAGTTATTGGAAATGGAAATAAAACATTGGAGAATGATTTCTTTGCAATACTGAAGCATTGCAAAAACAAAGGATGCTGATTATAATTCGCATAACTTTGGGATAGAGTGTTTCAGTTAAGTCACCAAATTAAATCTTTGTTGTATCTTCTCTGTTTTCTTATGCAGAGATAATTCAAGGGGAAGAAATAGAGCAAGTGAAGATACATTTCTTTGGCCCACTTATAGCTGTGATTGTACTGATCACAGTTCTTCTAGGTTTTGTGATCTTGAGGAGTAGAAATATCTCATCCAGCAACCAGAGTAAGTTACTACTCATTCAGTTCTACTGTCCCTCAAGTCACAGACTTTGCTCTTTGTAATTATCCCTTCACCTACATTCAAGATGCTGACAGAAAGTTAGATTTCGTGCTGGACTTAAGCTAACCATTCTTGGACAATTCAGTTCCTGCAACAACTTAGTCCATCCAGCAGCAAGTCAAAACATCTTTCTCCTATCTTGTCCTGGGATCCAATTCTCTGTCCACTCTGTGCTCTGTGAGACTGCCAGGTACCAGCTTACCACTTTTTTCTGCAGTTTCATCATTTCCTTTTTCCTGGGGTTTGGGTTGTGGGTTGGTTTTTTTTCTGTTAGGTGGATTTGGCTCATAAAATCATTGAATTGTAGAAACCTTTCTTGTCCATCAACATTTATAGAAAGGTGGTGCTGGGTGAGAGATGAGATGTCATTTCTGTCAAGTGGAAGTATCTCTGTCAACGCAGAGCTGAAGGGTCAAGGCATTGCTCCACCACAGGCAGCCCAACTCTGGGCTGGAATAATCATCTTGTACTAGGAACGGAATTTGAACTTTGCATTGCTTTTTTCTATTGTGTTCCAAGACTGGGTCTCAGCTGTCCAGGGTTTGTTCTGCACTTCAAGTTGATGTTAGAGTCTACCCTTTCTTATAGCAAGAGGGAAATGCATTCCTCACAGTCCTGTTTCATTATGCAGCCAAGTCCTGACCCCTACCTGATTCTTCCTCCAAATCCTAAGATAGCTAAGACATTTACTATGAACTCTCTTTCCGCTCCAATTTCTCATGTTTCTGTAAATCACATATTCATCTATTTTAGGTGTCAGTCTAGCAGTCTAGAAGCTATCCAGCTTGAAACTTCAGCCATCAGCCAGACTGCTGACTGGAAACCATCTCTGCACATAGCAAGGCCTGAGGTCCTGTGTTCTTACATGGTGTGCCAGAAAAAGAATCCTCCCCAGATATCCTACAGAGCAACATGCAACATTTTTGCCTGATGGTTAAAATACACTGTCCAGTGATCTCTGCTTTTATTTTTGTTCCAGAATGTAGTAAATATGATGCTCTGCCTGTCTGCATGACTACCTTTTTGCTGCATCTTCCATTACATACCGTGACATTGTAAAACCCTGAGTCAATGAAGAAAGCAGAGCTGCGTGGGTTTCAGAAGATTCAGAAATAGAAAGTGTTAGGCCACAATCTGTGGATCACAACCATCACTGGAAACATGATCAGAGGCAGGTTATTAATTATGAGCCATAAACACTTTTAGGATAGCCAGTGTGACTTTGTACCAGTAACTTTCTTGTAAAGCTCCACCACAGAAAGAGGAAATTCAAGGCAATTCCCCACCCTCTGAGACAAGTTGCACAATTCCTATGAGACCTTTGAAACTAGAAATCACCTAAAGGAAAGACTTGCTTTAAATAATTGCTGGTTATCCTTTTTTTAGTACCTTCCAAGCTTAATCATAGAATCATAGAATAGTTAGGGTTGGAAAGGACCTTAAGGTCATCAAGTTCCAAGCCCCCTGCCATGGGCAGGGACACCTCGCCCTAAACCATATTACCCAGGGCCTCGTGCAACCTAGCCTTGAACACTGCCAGGGATGAAGCCTTCACAGCCTCCCTGGACAACCTATTGCAGTGCCTCAATACCCTAACAGGAAAGAATTTCCTCCTTATATCCAATATAAACTTCCCCTGTTTAAGTTTTAACCCATTACACCTTGTCTTGTCACTACAGTCCCTAATGAAGAGTCCACCCCCAGCATCCCTATAGGCCCCCTTCAGATACTGAAAGGCTGCTATGAGGTCTCCACGCAGCCTTCTCTTCTCCAGGCAGAACAGCCCCAACTTTCTCAGCCAATCCTGGACTTCCAGAAGTTGTGATTTGTACTATTTGTACTATTCACAACAGAAGTTGTGAATCTGTACTATTTCAGGTGGATGCAGGGATAGAAAATGAAAGCATGAGGTATCATTCATATGTGTAGAAATCTACATATACAAAATCAAGGTAATCATATAATGAAAAAATATAAGTAGATTGTCTTCCAATTTGTTTGACTGTGTTCCCCTTTTCTGAAGCTTGCTTCAACCCCTGAGGATAGAGCAATCCATACACTGTGGTATGCCCAGCTATCAGAAGTAGTTTTAACTTTCAGAAAAGATTCTCCATTTCACTCAGAATGTGCCAGTTGTCCAATCTTGAGCGATCTCTGCACTTTACATTCTTCAACAGCATTGATATCTTCCAAGAGGAAGAATGCAGCAGAACTCAGATAGAATCCTGCTGTCTTCATGGCCTGATATTTTCAGCAAGAGCAGGGATGTTACCATCACATTGCAAGACAAGTTTCAATGTGTTGAAATTTTCAGTCTGGGGGCTTAGACTCTCCATGGTATCTGCTGGGTACAAATACTCTTTTCTGTCAAATTATGTGAGTTGCTAGATTCCACCTAAATTTTTACTCCACTTTCAAGTGTGTGAGAGAATTTGCATGTCCTTTTGAGTCAGCTAAACCATTTGGGAGTAAGTTTGTTAAGCTATTACACTAACATTCCAGATATTGACATTCAGATTAATATCATTCAAATTTTATTAAAAGTTAAAGTTTTTATTTTTATGTAAAAGTTTATATTTGTTAGTAAACTTATTTAATGACTTAATAAAATACATGTCTTTTTTCTGTGTTGGTGTTTTATTCTCCTTCCATTAAAGCATGAAGGAAATACCCACATTTTCTGTTCTCAGGGAGAAAAAACTCCCAGGATTATTTCTTGGAAGCAAATGAATAAAAAAGGAATTGCTGCAATGACCAAAAATGGCACAGCTAAAGGTTTCATTCATGGAGCTGGATATATGTGCATGATATATCCGTGTATTCATACCTCGATTTATTGACCTATTCACCTCAAAGATTAGATACAAAATTACAGTCTGAAAATTGGGCCTTTTGATTCTATGCTGCAGATTGTCAAATACATCTCCAGTGGGTCACACAATCTTTAACTTGATTAACATTTGGTTCCTTAAATAAAGCACGTGTTGAACTATTAGCTATACTAAGTCAGGCAGATGCTCACTGGATTTATGTTGTCTCTCCTGCCTTTTTTAACGCATGCTGTAATTCAGTTGATTCTTCTCAACATTTTCCCTTCCCGCCTAAGTCATCCACCCCAAATCCTCACTAACATTGGGGTTCAAAACAATAGCTAAACCCTACTTTGCTCCTACCCAAAAAAGCTTTGTGGGTCTTTTGTCTTCCGTATGCCTAGATTAACAAACGCACACATACACTCTCGAGCTCACAGTCTCGGCTCTCCCTTACCAGTCCCTAAATTCTGATGTGCTGGTCAGCTTTCTGCAGTGAGGGAAAAAGCCCTTCACCATGTTTCCCCATAGAACAAAACCAACCAACAGCTTCTTCACAATGGTATCTGGAAATCTATGCTAGGACTCAAGAGTCCTACTCTAGAAAATTCATTTAGCAGAAAAAAGAATTCTGAGAGCTTGGAATTCAACAGGTTTTGCAACATGTCATAGTACCTCTGAGGGGGCTTTTCACCCCAATACACTCCACTATCACTATCAGCGGTTGTAACTAGTGACAAAAAGCCACACACATGGTGGGTTCATTTTTTCTTTTGACAGCTCCCTTCCATCCTTAATTTGTTGCCCATCAGTGAAGTTGTTTGTTTTCTCCCTTGCCATCCCTCTGCTTTAGGCTACCAACCTGCTTCTTTTACCTGCTCAATTTCTCTGCCTCCTCTTTCCTTGCTCTTAAAATCAACTGTATTCCCCACCTGCAGCTAAAGGCAGTTCAGGGGGAAAGAAAAAGAAGGGCTTCAGGGAAATCATAGTTTGTGTCTCTCTGTTCAAATGCATTAATCCTCTGCACTAGCAGGTGTAATGAGCACAGTAGCAAGTCACAAGAAAAACGTAGCCACTTTGTTCGCATTTCTGTCCTCCATATGAATTCATTCAGGTTTCCAGGTTATCTCCTCACCCACTTTGTAGTCTTTTCTTTGACAGCATGCTTTGAGACATTTAGTGACTCCATAAACATGGCAAGCAAACAAATCAGTGTACACTCACTACATACCACAGCATGGAACAGCTTCACTTAAAAACACCATTCCTTCATTTCTAGGCAGAACAGTGTGAATTCCAGAAAATGCTAACAAAGAAATGGAAATGGTGTGTTAGACCAGTAAACAGTGCACTAAGGCATGCCTGTCATCAGACTTGTGATAAATTGCTTTAGGTTTAGTGAAAACCCATCACTGAATCACAGAATAGTTGATGTTGGAATGGACCTGTGGAGATTATCCAGTTCAACCCTCCTGCTCAGGCCTGGAGCAAGTTGCACAGGTTCATGTCCAGACAGTTTCTGAGCATCTCTGAGGAGGGAGACTCCACGACCTGTCAGGGCAACATGCTGCAGGGCTCCAACACCCTTTTCAATGAAAAAGGGTGACCGAGCCTCATTCCTTGTGTTCAAAGGGCAGCTTCTGGGTTTCAGTTTGTGCCCATCGACTCTGGTACTGTCAGTGGGCACAAACAGCACCTTTTTCATACTGCCCTTTCAGGCATGTATACACACTGAGATCTCTTTGGGGCTTCTCTTCTCTAGGCTAAACAGTGCCAATTTCCTCAGGCTTTCCTCAGATGAAAAAGACTCCAGTCCCTTAATTATCCCTGTGGCCCTTAGCTGCGCTCTCTCCAGTATGTCCGTGACTCTCTTGTACTGGAGAGCCCAGAACTGGACACAGGACTCCAGGTGGGGCCCCACTAGCGCTGAGCAGAGGGGAGGGATCACCTTCCTCAGCCTGCTGGCAATGCTTTCCCTGATGCAGCCCAGATACCGTTGGCTGTCTTTGCCACGAGGGCGCACTACTGCCCTACCTTCAACTTGTCCACTGGGCCCATCCATGTACTTTTCTGTGATGCTGCTTTCCGGACGGTTCGCCCCAGCCTGTACTGATGCATGGGATTATTCCAGCATAGTCCACAGTCAGTTCTGAGGGGATTGTCATTTAACGGGCCATCTAATGGAAAAATGTCCCTTAGTGGACTTTTTGCTCTTCGAGTGAATTATTTGCTCCTGAGGGTTACATTTGACCACAGAAATTGGCAATTTTATTAAAGAAATCTAGTTATTGCGTACATTGCCTCTTAGGTTTTGGTTTCAGATTCTAGTTCTGCCCCTTTTCCAAACTCAGATGGAAAAAAAGGAGAAGGAAAAAAAAATATATGAAGCACTTACCCACACTGGAATGCTGGGCTGCTGTTATTCATACCTGGTCTCACTTTGTTCCCCCATCTTCTGCACTAGAAGGGCCATAATGCTGGGGCAGGCAAGGGTTTAAAGCGTATTTTCTGATCTCAGGATGAGCTACCAGAAGGTTCTCAAGACAAAAGATACAATTAGGCAGGAAAGCTGGGGGAGATGATGTGGGCTGAGAAAATGTATGGAAAAGTGTAATGCACCAGGCTAGCAGCCACAGGAAGTGCACATGCATCAAGTGCAGTCTAGGCACAAGCCCATTCATCACAGACCCCAGGAAATAAAACGTTCTAGCAGCTCTCTGCCTGTTGCCTACTGGGAAAAGCTACTCTCAAGATAACAGCAAGGGCAGCTTCCGCACACAAGTCCTGAAACCTGGAATATTCCCACAGCCCTTGGCTTGTCGTACCTCCTAACATACTTGTGAGTTGTATGGCAGGTGTAAGTAGATTAAAACTTGATGACAGATCAGATTTTCCTATACTTGGTATGTGTTTGATGTCAAGACCTGCACACCTTTTGTCCACTGCTTTTTTTTATACAGTTCTTAAAAAAAATAATCAGGAGAATCCTAAAAATGATGCCTAGCCACCCCTTCCTAATAAGCAGTGCTTATTATTTCAGAAGAACATAGACCTAGGAAAAGAACGGAAAGATGAGGTGAAAACAGCTCAAACTGCAGTTACATATACCCATGCACAGCTGATGAACTGTGTACATTGCCCACCCTGTACAGAAGAAGAGAAGTTCAATAAAAAGCATAACTAGCTTGATTCAGAATGATTTTCTAAAGCTTTTCTCAGCCTAGTTCTATTCCTGTTATCAAGAGAAACTGCTCCCTTTTCAGAGGGTTCAAAACTGAGGAGCATCTTCCACTTCAACAACTTTCTTTTGCACCCTTTTTCATCTTCACCCTCTCTCTCATACAAGTATTACAGAACCCACAGTCTGAGAGACTTTCCTCAAGGTACACCATGAAAACAGCCTTTCAGTTTGCCAGAATTACAGTCTGAGAGGACTAATGCAATCCTTGCAGGTATGGAAAAGGGATTTGACACAGAAGCAGAGATCTTACTTCTTTACCTTGCACTGGTAAATACACTACTGTCTCCAGAACCATAAGTCATATTTTCAGAAGATGCTCAGC